ATTCTTCGATCCAATGAGATTCATGTTTAGTTACCCCGAACACACATTACTTATTAATAAAAGTTAAACACTTGTTCTTGACCAAGTATCTTGAACTTGAGTAACTTTAATAAAATTATAAATTTTGAAATCAAAAAAGTTAAGATTTTAGGATAAAATAAAAGAAAAAGTGAAAGAAAAATGGTTTGTATGTGTAAGAAATATGATTATGAAGATGTAGATGTTGATTTTAAGTGAATTTAGAGCTTGAAATTGGGGTTGTTCATGGTGGTTGGTGTATTCAAGAGAATAAAAATATCGTAAGTAAAAGAGGAAGATGAGGATGATTGAGTAAAACAAGCAATTTCGGGGAAGAAACTTTACATTTTCGTGAATAGTTCAAACTTTTCGGGTGAACAGAACAAATGAAGTTTTCAAAAAAGATCATTAGTTACTTTTGCCTTTAAATTTTTGTTTTAAGTTATATTTGCAAAACACTCTTTATTTTTTACTGTGAGTTTCTACCACAGAGTTATTATTGCGACTTACATCAAATTATAATTTCTATTGTAGTTCTACTCTAATAAAATACACTGATAAACTGGCACGCGGTGCTCGGAATCTGCCTTCTACTGTGGTTTATGTTGACTCCGCTGTTTCAAAGAGAACTCTCGGATCAGGATGTAGTTTAGTGTCTTTTTGCCTTTTGTTGTAAAAAAACAAAAAAACAAAATTGGACTCTAATTCAACATGTTACTAATCAGAGCCAATATATCATTACTATTAACTTCGTTTTCATCAGGATAAGATCCAACTTGAAACATGGTTTGTAACCTAAGACCAAGGAGAGTGTCCTTGACTCTCCACGAAGTGTACTCAAAGATGTTTTGGAATAGATCTTGAACCAAATGGCTAACAAAATAAGCCAAGGATAATCAATGTGTTCACAAAGGGATGTCAAAAATTCCTCGGTGATGAACCTCAAGTTGTAAAGGTAAATTCACAAATAGTTTAAGATGGTTTTGCAGTAGGGATTACTCACCTAAAAATTGTACTGAGTTTGATAATTGAACATAGGGTAATTAAGAGAAAGGATTTTAAATAAAAGATGAATAGTTTTCACAAGATGATCATTAATGACCTTTTATAGCAAACAATTTTATGTAGAACAAGAAGAATTAGTCGTGAATCAGGAAGTTGTAAATCGATATCAATGCACTCGCGTGTGTTGTAAGTGTAACCCTCTTGCTCTTGTTCACGTCTGGTTTGTTCCCTACCAAGATCTTGTTGACATTATTTGAAGCATGCTTAAAAAGCTTCTTATTTTTTTTTTTTTTTTTGCATTCTTAGGTCTAGGCCAATCCATAATGGTTTTGAGCTTTTCGTGATTTACATACACTTCTTGTTCAACTTAATTCCTAGACCAACTCTTGTTTCAAATTAGTATATAATTCAGCAAGATTATATTTATGTAATTGATTACACTCTTGTGTCTCACAACTACTCTAAGTTTCTACAATCTAGTTAATTATTCTAGAAACTAGTAGAATAAGCAATCAGGGTGCATAATTCAATGAATAACCTTAGAAAAAATTGCCAAAACGGAATAGAAAAAGATGTACATGGTCCCTTTGCCATAAATTCATTTTTGGCCAGATTTGGATTTAGATACCCTTAAGTAACTTTAAAAATTCATATCAATTATTTTAAGAGTTAGAATAATATGATAAAATATACAAAATGTATATAAACAAGAGGCATCATATGAAAAATACTTTGGTATACCAAATATTAGTAGAACACAATTTCATATTTTTATCTACCAATGGTAGAAAATATTATCTGCTGTCTACGAGCACGTAGAATACATATTCGGATAACATGAATATCTGACACTGACAGGATGTTAAATCGTGCAATAGCTATAATTCTAGTACGGTAGAATGACCGGCTACCATTTCATTTATTTCTGAACTACGGTAGATTTGATAAACTATTGTTTCCAATATATCTACAAAGACGAAATGACAAAATCTGCCATGTATCAATTATCTAGAGTAATAGAATTACTTAATCTACGGATATTCTTTCTCCTACCGCAGAGGGTTTACAAAAATTACCATTTTCTCTACATTCTACGGACAACATAATGTATATTCTGCCAGTTTCAAAATATATACTTTCCTAAAATATCTCCAAAATATGTTAAAAAATATATGCTAGATCTAATTTCCTCTAACTTTTCGTGTTTCCTAATTTTTTTTTTAAACATGGTCTTCTTCTTCATCGCTCAGATTTTTGAAAAAAAAATTTTAACCACCCAAAAAATTTGAAACTCATGTTGAAGAAAATGCATATCTATGCCTCTTGTGGGGTTGATAAGCAAAACGAGGAAGACCACTGGTTGTGGATTTGACAAGTTCCTTTGAAGATCTAAGAATTATGATTTTGAGGATTTTGGAATTGACCAAAAAGTTGTGGAGCTTGAGTTAAGCTACTTACCTATGGAGTTAATCAGTTCTATAGACTGTCCCCCAGTTATCATTGAGAATGATCGGCAATTTAAAAATTTTCTAACTTATGTACGTGGAAAAGCTTCGACATGGTTATGTGTGTCTATTTCACCTATCAATGGAAACATCGACAACATTGAACTTGATAAGGAGGATTCTAACTCGTGTTTCAGTGAGAAAGGTGAACCTTCTTCGTTTTCACGTCAAGATGATATAGGTAGTTCATCTGAGTCGACTAAAGATGTTGAAGACAATGGAAACTTGAATGACTGGGAAGAAGATACTGGTGTCAAGTTAATCGGAAAAGAAGACGATAGTGGAAAAAGTGTTTGATTTTCTTTGATTGATGTTGTGAAGAGGGGTCAAGCGTTTGAAAATAAATCAAAGTTGAAAGTAGCATTGGAAATGTCAGCAATGAAGAATAAATTCAATTACAAAGTTGTGAAATCAGATACAAAACTTTGGTACATCTGATGCATTGACAACAAGTGTAAGTGGAGTGCTTGTGCTGAGGGGTTATCATGATCCACATATTTCATCATCAAAAAATATGTGGCGGATCATACGTGTGCTGCGTCAAGTATGAATAACGGTGTCGGAAATCTTCTGCAAAAAACTATTGGGAGTCTAATAATGCATAGGTATGATGGTATCAAAGAAGGTCTCAAAGCTAATGATATCATACAGATTATGAGAATGAATCATGAATGCGAGATATCTAAATCATTAGCTTGGGATGCTCGTGAGTATGCAATTAATTTGGTTAGAGGTATTCCCGAGCAGAGCTTTGGAAAAATTCTGAAATACTTGCACATGCTGAAAGAAGCTAATCCAGGAACAGACACCGTTTATGAAACCGATGTTGATGGTAAATTCAGATTTCTTTTCGTTTTGTTTGGGCAATCATTACGAGGTTATCACGCCACAATGCGAAAAGTTGTTGTTGTTGATGGGACATTTTTGAAGAGCAAATACAAAGAGGTATTACTAGTTGCGACGTCTTTAAATGGAAACTCCAACTTGTATCCTATTACATTTGCGGTTTTTGACTCGAAAAATGATTGTTCATGGGATTGGTTTTTTCAGACAACTAAATGTTGTTGTTCCGGACGAGCCTTCTCTTGCTTTTGTGTCGGATATAAATAGCTCACTTTGTAAGGGGCTTGAGAATGTGTATCCTCTTTCTCAACATGGAATTTGCATTCACCTTTTGTTAAATAATGTGGTCACAGACTACAAAGGAAAGAAAGTGGTTGGATTGATTGCAAAAGCTTCTAAAATTTATAGAGTTGTCGATTTTCAGAAGCTCTTCCAAGCCGTGTGTAATATTAGTCCAGCCATTGGGAACTATCTAAAAAAAGTAGATGTTTCAAAGTGGGCTCACTGTCAGTTTCCAGGCTTCAGGTATGACCTGAGAACCACAAACCCGGCTGAATCAGTAAACTAGGATTTGCGTTCACCAAGAGAATATCCAGTCATTCCTTTGTTGGATAGCATCAGAGAAATGCTTACCCATTGGTTCTTCGAACGTTGTACAAAAAGCAGGAAGCACACAAAACCTCTAACTATTTCCATCAAGAAGAAGATAGATAGGCGGATTAGCAAGGGAAAAACGTTTCTTGTCCAGCCAGTTAACGAACATCGTTTTTTGGTTCGTTGAGATACAGTTGATTGCCTGGTTGATTTGGATAGAAGAAACTTCTCATATGGGAAATATGACCTACTGAAAATTCCATGTAGACACACTATCAAGGCTGGTTTAAGTGTTGGCCGAGCCTAATCTTCACTAACAGATGACATGTACACGACTTCCACTTGGAGAACAGCTTATCGAGAAACTATCAATCCAGTAGGTGTTCTTGAGGATAGTTGGGTTGTTCCAGATAATGTTCAGAATGCTAATGTGCTACCTCCTGAATCAAGAAGAGGAGCAGGAAGAAGAAGAAAACGCAGATATGAGACAGCTGAAGACAAGATCCGTTCATCACAAGGAAAAAAGAGTCACCGGTGCAGTCGATGTGGCTGAGAGAATTATAATAGGGCTACATGTGACAGAGCTATTTAGTGATTTACTTGTTTTTCTTGCTTATGGATTTTATTGTTTTTCATTATGGTGTTGGTTACTTGATTTACTTGTTTTTCTTGCTTCTGGATTTTCTTGTTCTTGGAAATGGTTTACTTGATTTTATGCAATCGTTCCTTGATTTTCTCAATCATTTCTTGTTTGACAATAAGTTGTAAACTGAAGCTGATCAATACATGGTTACTCTTTAATCAATATGATGTAAACTGAAGTTTTCTTTGAAACATAGAAATCAAACAATAAGTCAAATAATAAAAACAATTCTACAACTGCAAGCTCAGACAACAATTAAAACAATTGGCCAACGATTGCACAAAACGAAGCCAAATAATGAAAACAATTCTGAAAATGCAAGCTCAGACAACAAACAACCAATAACTAGAACTTGCTCAGACAGTAAGAGAAGTCCATATTCCTACGATTGCTCATAAAACAACCATAGCCACCGTCGCAATCTTTAACTTCTGTTTCATCTCCTGTGCAACTCTAGCCATCTCCAAGTTGACCGTCTCTTTGAGCTTTTCAGACATCTCAAGCTCAACTCTAACCATATCGGACTCCATCTTCTCCATAACTATTTCTTCCAACTTCGTAATCCCTTCAACAACCCTCTCATGTTTCGCATCCACCATCCATATCTCGTCAATCAAAGCTTCATCAATGCATTTAAATAGATGATTCTCTGCTTTTCTCTATCACAAAAGAAACAAAAATCAGTCAGTATTATATTTTGAAATATAAATCTAAGTTGTTGAGTATGGTTTAAACTGCAACATGAAATCGAAACAGGAACTTACATCTAATGCGATTTTGCATCGGTAGAATCGTCTATACCTATTCTCCATCGTCGATGAACTAAAAGTGGTTATGCCCTCGCCACACCAACATCTTGTAGGCACACCATGAGTAGAGACTCGAGGAAAATGAGCAGAAGAAGAACACGAACTGGTCATTGTGATTTCGTTTCTAGATTCTCAGGATTCGCCAATAAGGAACCCTAATCCCCTTTTCTCTCTACTTTACTTTCTCAAGTTTCGACAAATGAAAATAAAATCACGTGTTTGGGGGTGTGGGGATCCGGGTTTAGGGCCGGGTTTTGGGTGGGCCTAGTGAGTTTAAACCGTAAATGGTTATACTCAATAACACTTATATTGGCTGCTAAAATACTACACTCTAATACACTAACATCAACATCTAAGAACTATATGTAGACAAAATTGAAAACTACTAATTTTTATAATTTAATAAACAAAAGATAATTTATGATTTATGGTATGATTCATTATTACTTTAGGGTTTATGGTATGAATCCATGCTAATTTAGGATTTAGGGTATGATTCATAGCTACTTTGGAGTTTAGGGTATGAACCCTACCTCTTTTAGGATTTATGGTATGATTCATAGTTACTTTGGAAATTAGGGTATGAACCTTATCTCTTTTAGGGTTTAGGGCATGATTCGTAGCTACTTTAGGGTTTAAGGTATGAACACTATCTATTTTAGGGTTTAGAGTAATCCTATATGATTTAGTTCCTGAAATTAATTCAAAAAAAACATTAGAGTAGTAGCAAGAAAACAAATCCACAACAATAAAAGTAATCTAAAAATCCAAAAACCATGTCCAACATGTCAAACCCAGAGATGAAACAAACTAGAAATCTAACATCATCAAGCAACAAATCATTAACTCAAATCGACAATTTTCCTTGGGGCACGCTTAGGAGGCTTAAATGTGGACGTTCTAAACTGCAAGATCTCATAGTTTGCTGCTTCCCATAGATCATATGCTATCTTAAGCTGGGTTTCTTTGATGTTCTCGTCATTCACCAAAGACAAATCTAAGCCAAGTACATGGCACTTTATGAACTTCAGAGTATAAGCAACACAATCATTACCACTCTTGTTTAGCGCATGCATCGGGACGTATGACACTTCATACTGTTTGACATTGAAATCTTTCTTCTTATCTGAAGCCTTGACAGCCTTGAAAATTCTTGGAATCATGATGGCGAATGCTTCCACACTCTTGGTGTTTTTCCTACCCCTATAGTCAAAGACTTCAACTGTCCCGTTCACAAGATTAACGCAGATTGCTATCCAGTGGTTCTGGTTGATCCAAATCAGGATGTAGAGACGATCGACATCATCATCCCACACTGAACCTGTGCTTCCATGATATGGAAGATCACCTCTTACATACTCGAGAAGATTGTCATCGATTTTGTACCCTCTCCTCTTCCCCTGAAATATGCCGTTGGCCGTGATGATCTGATTACTAAACAAACAGTCCATAAATGCCACTCGTTTTGCCTTCCATCGACCCAATGTTGTGTGTTTCCCAAAACAAATACATCATGGCGTCTATGTACTGAAAAACAAGCACAAGAAAAAAAACGAAACGAATGAGAACCAATAAGACAACTTAATAGTTCTTAGATAAACTTACATAGTTATTCAGCTACTCATTAGGCCCCATTATATGAGAACATGACACTCCCTCAAATGTGGATGGCCCAAGCTTAATCTTACTGCAAATAGGAAGCACTAGTGTGACAATATGACAATTTAACAGGAAAGAACGACAACAAGTAATTATTACTTACTTGGGGCTCAAGGACCATTCATTTAGTTGGGACCATTTTTCTTCTAAGACAAAAACCAATGTGTAGTCATTGTCTTGGAAATGGAATTTTGGGTCATCAATATCGCTCAAGAAAGGTTGCTTGAAGATTTTTGGCCGGGAAGAAGTCAAAGGCGTGGCAAAATCTTAAGATGGATCAAAACCGTACACTTTTAACTCTTGTGTAAGGTTGCCCATTGTCTTTTGTAGGTGCTCTTGGGTCCCTAAATTGACGTCTAATTTGTCAAATAAGCTTCCAAACACATCAAACAAATTTGCATCCTGATTATAAAACACAAAACATGGCATTAACATTACTGAAACCATATATATACACACATTAAAAACATGAAATTTCAGTACATCATCCATATACATCAGAACTACATACCATCAACGAAAAAGCATCATCCTTACATCAATATTACAAACATTAAACATGACATCATTCTTGCACATATTACAAAAAAAAAAAAGACAGCATCCTTACATCATCAGAAATTTATTTTTTGTTTACCTTTGTCTGAGACCTTGCCTTAGCAGCACTTGAAGGACAACCACCAGTGTGAGAAGGAGCCGGAGCTGCACTGCGATAAGTAGCAGGACCTCCGCTGTGAACTTTGCGTTGACGAGCAGAAGCAGGAACACTAGTGTCAGTAATCACCAGAGTAGGAATATGAGTAGGAGCAGGAGCACGAGTGTCAGCAGTCACTGGAGTAGGAGTAGAAGTATGAGCAGGAGCACGAGTAAAATTCGAAGCAGGAGCCTTAGTAAAAACCGGAGAAGTAGTAGGAATTTCAGTTGAAGCCGGAGCAGCACCATGTGTCTGACATGAAAGGATCTTCTCCTCTAATTTGGTAAAGCGGTCTTCAATTATGTCACGTACATCAAGCGCCAAGGAAGTGAAAGAAGACTTAAACATGTCCTGGATACAGGTCTTCATTTTCTCTTCAAGATCTCTATATTTATCGGTTAATCTTTGGAAAAGTAACCTCTTCTTCCTTGACTCGGCACCAGTATCCTCAAACTTGTTCTTTCTCTTCTTTTCAGGAGGCACATGGATGGTTGCTATTTCTTCATCAACTTCAGTCGAAATTGTTTCTTCAGCAGCTTCTTCATTCACTTCTTCATCTGAACTATTTTCCTCAGAACTGTATGGAAATGCTTGTACTGATTCCTGATAAGCCCAAACATGCTTACTCCAGTCATACTTATTTCACTGCATGTCAATGATCAGATCGATTCTTTCATCCTTCATCTCAGATGCTCAATCAAACTCAGCGTCACTAATCACGTCTTTGGAATTTCCAAATGTAGAGATGCATATAAATACCTCTCCTTACAAAACATAAACAATTAAACAAAAGTTAGACACAAAAATTAAGAACTGAGAACATCAACCATATCAAATAAAGGAAACAAAACTTACGGTGGATCCAAAATTAGACTCCATGCTAATAATATCCTCATACAAAATCTTAGCAGATCCTTTCCAATTCCTGCACCTCATGCTAGTTACGCCTTGTCTGAGTTTCTGACCCAAAAGAGATCCAATGTCTGGAATAGCCTCGATCAACCAAATCTGAAGTGCATATGAGAATCCATATACGACATAATTATTATGCGTCTTCACTTATCCCTAGCGTCGATAATAGAGCTCACCAGCGCATCAAAAGAGTGAAGACCCCACAGATATTTCCTCATCTTCTCGAAATCCATCACCAGCTTGATGTACTTGTGTGGGATCCACACCTTCTCATCCTTCGCCATAACTATACCAGCAATCACACACAAGTACACTATCCTCAGCCTATCAACACGAGACCAAGTGTTACAAGATTTCAGATGCACTTTCATGATTTGCTGTAGGGAAATATTTTTTCCTCTCCTTAGCAACGTACTCCAAAACCCTTTATCATGTACCCAATCATCAATCTCCAAGTCAGGCTCGTTTTTATATTTGAGACCTGTGATCGCAAAGAATTCTTGCATTGAAAATCTGAGAGGCCTCCTAGCATAGTTGAACCACAACTCATGACGCTTTGCCGTCATAATCTGCTTACAAACAAAACTGTGGATTGCTCTCCCTGAAAACTTAAGCTTGTGTTCATAAATGGCCATAACCTGAGCAAATAGCGGATCGCCCAACACTTCCTTGTACTCGTCTTTAATGTGCTTCTCCACCTTCTTAAGAATGGAAATTCGACAACTGTTGTTGATCTTCTGAACTTGTGTTTCAGTTCCCTCTTTGAATAGGCATTTAAGCAACGGATCCAATACATGTGAAACAATCAAACAATACAATTACCATAGGTTCTATTCATGCTAGTATAATTCATAAATCAGACATGTTAATCAAAACAAAACAAAGACAATTATGCAAAAACCAGACCACATACCATTCTTACATCATTGTCACGAAATAAAAGTGAGATAACAACTCGATGACCACAAAAACATCAAAATTATGAAACTCTAATATCATATAAACAATAATCGAAACCTACTACACTCAAATAATGATTAAAAATCACTCAAATCAAAGAGACAAAAACATGCAAACCGAATCACAAGTCCAAAACTGTATAAAAGTCATGACAACAACAACTTGTTGACCACCAAAAAAAAAAATCAAAAGTATGAAACTTTGATATCCTAGAAAGCTAAATCATTCATACAAACAAAAATCGAAACCTATTACACTCAAATAATGATTAAAAACCACTCAAATCAAAGAGACAACAACATGAAAACCGAATCACAAGTCCAAAACTGTATAAAAGTCATGACAACAACTCGTTGACCACAAAAACAAATCAAAAGTATGAAACTTTGATATCCTAGAAAGCTAAATCGTTCATACAAACAAAAATTGAAATCTATTACACTTGAGTTGTGATTAAAAAAATCAAATCATACAGAGAAAGACATGCAAACGAATCCCAAGTCCTAGACCAAACCCGAAAATCTAGAAGTTACGAGCTTGAACTAAGATGTGAGAAACGAATTTCGGCGAGGAACAAGCTTGAGATTTCCGACGACTTACCTAAGAGCAAGAACACGTGAATACGAGGTGTAGGAGCCTTCCCTAAAGAAGAAAACACCGGCGGAGTCCAAGAGGGGAGAAGGAACACCGGAGCCGGCAAAGTGAAGCAACGTCGAGATGTATTGCAGGTGAATCATCTCTGATTTGCTCTCTCACTCTAACGACGGAGAGAGATGTAAATTAGGGATTAGGTTTCGATTTGGGGCTAAATAGAGTCGAAACTCCTTTTTGGGAAAATTGTTTATTTTTTATTTAATAAATTAATTAAGTAAAAATAATCCCGAAAATATTAAAAAAAATGATTAGATTTATATCGGGGGTTTAATTAGGTTTACACACAAAAAAGATGGTAGATGGACAATCTTATGTTTAATATATGGTATAGGGAAATGTATAAGCTTATTTATTTTATATTTACAATTTTACCATAACCTTATCAGTCAGCAATTCGACATTAAATGGATGGATAGAGATTTGAAATATGGGATAAGACATGGTAAAAGATCTTAAGATTCTCAACATAAATGAAATAGTCTGTTTTTTTTTTTTTCAGAAGTACATAGAGAAGATCAGAAAATTAACATTCAAGAAGCATAATTTTTTAACGATCCTATACTTCTCTAGACATCTAAACCGCAACGTTGGGTGACGCTGGATACTCTTCATACCCTGTGATTCCTGTAATCCTAATCCTCGTATTTGGCTGTATAACAGAGACAAAAATCACAATGCAACTGACATTATTTACAGTTCTAGAGATTCATCCGGCGAACCAAATTATAAGAACTATTTGATACTAGTATATGCGGATGGGAACACTGTAATATAATATATAGCTAGAAATATCTTCTACGCAGTTTGGGTTAAAGGAAAATATGAATTTTAGCAACAGAGAAGCGAGAATACCTGTCGGTGACCAATATTTCTGCGGTACTTTTTCTTTGGCTTGTACTTGAAGACCACCACTTTATCATTCAGACCCTGCAGCAGCACAAAGACATTGCGGTGTTCCCAAGTTAGGGGTCGAAAAGACACGACAGACACTTAAGGAAAGACTTGGTATTGATTTACTTGATTTTCCACTACAGCATGCACAGTAGCATTGGTGACAACCGGTTTGCCGATGTAAGTATGTGTCTTTGTGCCCACAAGTAGCACTTTGTTCAAAACAATCTGCACAAAAAGATGAAACGTTTTACAACGCATCAACACTAATAACATAGGCAAAACGTGTTCTTTCGTTTTGGTCTGGCAAAGCAAAAGCCACAACGGATTCATCTTCCATGGTTCCACCATCCTTATCAAATATATTTCATTACCGGAGTTTTACTTAACGCAATGGAATTACAAAAAAACTAATATATAATAAATCATTATTCAACGTGTTTTCACATCAATGTATTTGAAATGGATTACGATACCTGATCATCAACATTAGCATCTTTGAGCCTCTGAGTGTAGAGATATCTCCCTGGGAAAACAATGTATTGGCGTCCACCAACCTGTTGAATCAATGAGAACACTAAACTAAGTTAAAAATAGCAAATGAAAGAATCCAAAATAACAAAATGAGATATACAAGGCTTTTAAAACATCCCTCACTAAGACACAAACCTAACTTTTGAGAGTAATGCAAGATAATAAAAAAGAACTCAAAGTAAAACTCATCAAAATCAAGCAAAACCACTTCCTCAGTTCCAAAGCTACTATTGAAATTTGAGAATTGCTTATTCAGTAGCTCACCATTACAACTGCGAAGATCTCTTCTCGTTTAGGCTTATCCTCAGAGACTACCACAGATTCAATATCAGTAGTCTCCGGTTCAGCCACGACGGCTGATTCAGAGAATTTCGGAGCGGCGGGGAATGCGGTTCGAGACGTCGACGCTGTGGAAGCAGAAAGAAACCCAATCGAAGGTTTAGCGAGACTCACGGAAGGTTTGGAGAGAGAACGCAATGGAGTGATGCTGCAATGAGCAGAGAAAGCAGAGCACAGAGAAAGCGTAGCTGAGGAAGAAGCCATGTTCCGCCTAGAGCACAGAGCTGAAAACTAGAGAGAATAAATCCCCAGGGTTATCCTATCCGCTTACTCTTATATTACCAATGTAATCCTATCTCTTTGTTGGGCCAATTATATTGCCCATTGTCTTTTTTTTTGCTTAGCCCATTGTCTCAAATAATAAATGACAAAACTAGATTTCTACCCGCACAACCGTGCGGGTATATTAATACGAAAATATTTGAAATTATATAAAAAAATTTATTAATAAATAAATATAATTTTAATCAAATAATTTTTGAAACTATATCTTGAAAAAATTCTAAAATATATTGTTAAAATTTTCTTAAAACTATTTATTTGTATTTCAAACAAAAATTAAAGATATGAAAAAATATTATAATATTGTATAAAATTTTATAAAATTTTAAGGATGGTCCAAACTAAAATATCATACATGAAATGAGTCATGACTTCTCTTTTAATATAATAGATGTGAAAGTTATTGGACCTACAAGTTTCAATAAAAAATCTCATTGGCTCTAATAAAATGCAAAAGGTGAGATTCCCACATCGCCTATTTTTTTTTTTTTTTTTGATAAATTGTAAATATCATTAAAATGTTAATGAAGGTTTGACTACAAATTTACAAGAGCCTTGAATCCCATTTGCTAGATAACTTTTCCGATTTTGTGAACCTCAAAAAAGTAAAAAGACTCATTTAACTAAGTTTAAATCAAAAATTTTCTAAACAAAAACAAGCTATGAAGTATGGAGAAACCATAAACATCAACACATACTGTAACACAAGCGTTTCCTGAATCCAAGAATTACCTACACAACAGTGGTGAAAGTCTCGATGTTTATTTGATGTTCTTTAACCTGAAAGTCTCTTTGGACACGATGACGGAAGGGCTGGCAAGACCCTCTCTGGTGCAATTTGAGGAAGACTGATATACTAAAATTGGATCTTTGTTACTGTCAAGTTAACAATATTTTTGTGATATGTTTAGATACAAATCTAATGGGTTTACACTTTACTTTTATGGGATCAATATCAAGCTAAAACAATATTATGATTATAGAGTGGTTTAAACGTAACAAGCAAGTAACAAGATAGAATTGGTTTTCGGATGATTAAAGAGCCAGCCCAGGGTTACTTCATCGGGTGTCAAACGCATGCTAGCCAAGCAGTTATTCAAGTTTAATTTTTAACATGTCTAGAACTCGGATCACTCAATATAGAACAACCCACTGTCGTGGAACTCTTCCATTTGTGCTACCTAAGCTCTCGCTTGGAGTAAGATGCGATAGCAAACAATAGAGATCAAGTCTGATAAGTTCACAAAACACCCCTAATATCTACGCTCATTGATTAGGGATGTAAAGCTCATTTATAACAGATCTAGCAACATAGCTCACGATTAATGGACATGTTAAGCCTAGATTCATACATCAAGTAATCAGTTTAATGCAAGCAATAAGAATAGTTATGAACAAATACAATGAATATATGTACTTATCTATGCCTAGCTCGAGGTTTCAACTCCCTAGAACCCTAGACTAACTAGCTGACTACTCAGCCATAACACAGGAAAAAAAGACATAGATTCTGAATAATACTACATGCGATTAATAATAGAAATAAGAGAGTTCAAGGTGGTCTTCTCTAAGGAGAGAGATGAAACCGTCTCTCTAATAAGTCACAAAATCGTTAAGTACCATAAGCTCTCTCTAGGGTTATTCCATAAAAACCTGAGATACAAAATGAAGGAAAGAGAAAAAGAATATATATGGAGGCCACTTATGGCCTGAGAGAAAAGATAGGAAAAGTAGGAGAAATCCCAAAATTGGATCTTTGTTTCCATAAATATCGGGAGCATGCAGTTGATTGCTCCGCTCACTCAGGAACAGCCATCATGTTGCTACGCTCACTCAGGAACAGCCATCATGTTGCTCCGCTCATGTAAACCTTCAAGTTAGGTTCTTTCTCGCCTCTTTCGCTTCAGATGATCTATCTCCCAACCTATTCAGCCTTCAGACCTGTAGTTACTCAAAAGGACTTGAAAGACTTGGAAAACCTTAAAAGTAACTAGTAGAACTTATATACAATGTGTCAAAAACACAACATATCAATTCTCTTAGACTTAGATCCTTTTTTGTCCTCAAACAAAATCAAGTATCAAGAGTATGTAGAAAGGTTTGAAAGTGTGGGAACTCGTCTATTCTAAGAAACCTTTCCTTAACCACAAATCTTCAAACCATACAAGCAGTAAAACTAGGATAACACACCCTTACCGAAGCCCGGTTCAAACCGGTTCTGTAATCTATATTTCAAATCTGCAAGGTAACACCTTCCAGATAAAGCTACTTACATTCAATTAAGAGTAGTGTGAGCTTCTCATCACAAGCATTAGTCATGGTTACTGTCTAGGTATTAAACTGGCATTTTATATGTGTTTAAGTGGAGCTAATTAGTGTTTAGGGATTACCATTTCTTCATAGAGGAGGCATGATATCGCGCAAAATTGCAAGAGAGGAAAAGATCCATTGATGTGCACAGCCCTTACTCGTTTTTTCATGTTCCTCCTCCAGTACAGTTGCTCTGATGACTCACTTGTTCTTCCTCTTTAACTTGGTACCCATTCTTTTGCTCGATCTTCCCAGTGGTTCATGTTTCTTTTGAATTCTTCCCTTCCTCCATCACCTTATTTTGATGAACTTTTTATTATTATTATTATTTGAATAAAAGGGTGATGGTGACAAAGAAGGAGCTAACACATGATGGTTTTGATGTGCCACTAGTGGTCGTAGTTGCATACCTATTGTGGGAAACAAAATTCGCACTGTCGATTTCGGTAAAATAAGGAAACTTAGGAAAACCCTAATTTTCCAGAGGACCCGGATCTCTGCGAGAGCCAACGACAAGTAACCAAATAAATGTGGAAAATATGAATAACATGATAAAACAAATTTATAAAGAAAGTAGATCTTATTTCGAATTCGCGTAAGATCGTTGCGATCATTACAAGAGGTTATAAAGGCTTTGGCCGCAGGGGCCGTGAGCGAGTTACCTAGTTCTAGCAACATAAAACCCTAAACCTACTTGAGTCGCATCTCGATAACAAAAGACGAAAAAGATAAGAAAAAAAGTTTTGATTGATTTCGGACTGAACCTTATGAAATGCTGCCTATGTACCCCTTTCGAGGATCAAGCCGAACGTAGTTCAATTGATAGATCTGGACAAGAGATCGAACTGCCTAGGCGAGTTCGTCTAGTAGTTGAGTGCCAGTCATATAAACCGAATTTGTGGGGAATAAAGCCTAAGTTTCTAAGTACAGAGAATTCTAAGTCTAGAAAAGTTATACAACTTTTCAGATGGGAGCTCTGAAAATTGTTTTTTGATCTTGTCCTCGACCTAATTCTGCTTATGTAGTCCTTCTTTAGGCGGTTGGTCTTTCCTTTTTCGCCCCAATTTGCGCTTGTCGGAAATCTTCCATTTATCTTGATCTTTCCATTTTTCTTCCGAAAACTTCTATTTTATCGTCAAACTTGACCTTTTCCCACTGCTGCGAATAACGAGTAAGCCGTCATCATAATCTTTGGGCTGGATCTTGTCTAAAGTCGTGAGTTGGATTTTATCGCGTTTTAAGACTTTCTGAGGCGTTTTGCGATTAGCCGTTTTACGAATTGATATGAGATCGTTTCCTGATAAAAAAGTCTTTTTTTTTATAAAACATCTCGAGTTAATCGTATAACTTGGCAATGTTCGGTGTTTTGTTTAACCGTTTCCGTTTATACGATTTACTCGAGGTTTTACGAGAAAACAAGTCTTTAGCCGTTTTTTATAAAATATCTCGAGTTAATCGTATAGTTTGGCAATGTTCGGTTTTTTGTTTAACCGTTGCCGTTTAATACGATTTACCCAAGGTTTTTACGAGAAAACAAGCCTTTTACGGTTTTTTTCGTAAAACTCCAACGGTAAGACAGATCGAGACGAAACGAGAGATGTTCCAATCACGGTTCAGAGTACGATCGAGTCGAGGAGCAAGGATGGTTTCGTTCAGCTCGCCAACAGGAGAGCTAATCAAGGATGGCCAGTCTCCTGTTGGCGAGCTGGACTGGACGGTTCAGCTCGATAACAGGCGAGCTGTAATTGTCGGTTCAGCTCGCCAACAGGCGAGCTAGACTGGTTAGTTCAGCTCGCCAACAGGCGAGCTGGACTGGTTGGTTCAGCTCGCTAATAGGCGATCTGGTCAAGCACGGCTAGATCGCCTGTTGGCGAGCTGGTCGGTTGTTCGGTTTCGATCATTTCTCATTTTCTCGACCCAAGATCCTCTCAGAGAATATAAGGAGAAATAATCGTAGATGTTGATTTCGAAGTTACCGTTTTTGACCTCAACAACGGCCTTACTGTTTTGGGGATTTTGGATACATCCATTTTTGGCTAATTTGGCCAATTGGACAATCGCGGATTGTTTTATTCGATTTTCCGATGATTTACAAGATGAAGATTATTAAGTTTACGGAATTTATTTGTTCGGAAAATTCAACAAGGTTTTTTAACTATTTCAAAATCTGATACGAGTTTTCCGTAATCTCATAACTTCGTATAAAGTCTATAGTTTCTTGTATGCTTTGTAATTCATATTTTGACACCAACACCTATTCGGTTTTTCACCCTGCTGTCGTAAAGTGACTCAGGGGCGCCGGAGCAGTTGTTCCCTTACTCTCGCTTGTTCTCCTCTTATAACACTTTCCTACTGCAGTAAAGAGTAAGTGGCTGCATCGATCCTTTCCTCTCTGGCCCTTTTGCACATATCTGTACATAAGGTACTGAAAAGAAAAATGTATTGTGAGGGGTAAAACTCACTTCCTAGTTTTTAGATCAGGTTAAGGTTGAAGAAAGATAACGTGGGCTGAATCCCGTTAGAACTTACAGAATGAATTTGTGATTGTATTGATGAATAATGATTACAAAGATGATTCCGATGGTTACAAAGAATTATGAAAATATTTCGTGTGCAATAATATGTGTAAAAATGG